GGACTTAAAGTCGGGTTTTCATCAAGTGAAAATGGCTGAAGCAGATAAACCTAAGACTGCATTTAGTTATGGCCAAGTTCCCTGGCAATACTGTGTTGTGCCATTCGGGCTTAGCAATGCTACAGCAACATTTGAGAGACTGATGGAAAGAGTACTGGAAGGCCTACAATGGAGGATAGCCCTAGTGTACCTGGATGATGTCATTGTGTTTGCAACAACGTTTGATTAGGAAATGTCCTGGCTAGAGGAAGTATTCAAGCATTTGAAAGCAGCAAACCTCAAACTCTATCTCAAGAAATGCCACTTGTTCCAAAAAGAGATGCTTTACTTGGGTCACATTGTAAGTGAGCATGGTGTATGAACTGATCCTGACAAGGTGAAAGCAGTGCGTGACTGGCCAACACCAGACAATGTGGGAGATTTAAGAAGTTTCTTGGGACACTCTACCTATTACCGGAAATTTGTGAAGGACTTTGCAAATATAGCTGCTTCACTACATGATTTGACATAAAAAGGCAAGAAGTTCGAATGGACAGTTTCTTGCCAGCATGTTTTCAAGACATTGAAAGAAAAATTGGCTTCAGCTCCACTTTTAAAGGTTTTAAATCCCTCACTGCCATACATACTGGATTGTGATGCTAGTAATGACAGAATTGTAGGAGTGTTCTCTCAGAAAGTGGACGAAAACGAACATGTGGTGGCCTACTTCAGTACGGTCCTGAGTTAAACAGAGAGGAACTACTATGTAACATGGAGGGAACTCCTTTCTATAGTAAAGAGTCTGACATATTTCCATCCTTACCTCTATGGTACCAGATTTACCATCAGGACAGACCATGCTACATTACGCTGGTTAAGATAACTAAAGAACCCAGAGGGACAACTGGCATGTTGGATCGGAAAGATAGACCAGTATAATTATGATACTGAATACACAGAAGGAAAATCTCATGGAAATGCCGAATGCCTGAGACAAAGACCCTACAAAAATGACTGCAGACATTGCTGCAAAAGAGAGGTTGAGCTAACCAGGTGTCATCAAGCTGAAGTCAAAGTGAAGTGGAAATAGGTATAGATATTAAAGCAGAGCAGGAGAAAGACCAAGATTTGAAGCCAATAATTGATTTTCTACAAGCAAGTGTTTTGTGCCCTGCTTGGGAGAAGGTGTCTAGCTTAAGCCCTGTGACAAATAACTATTGGGCACAATGGGACCAGTTGAAGCTTGAAGATGGTACTCTTGTCAGGAGATGGGAAAGTGACGACTTGGCAAACAGTTAAACCGAGAAAGTTACGGGAAGTTGTGCTGCGTCAATCCCATGATAATTTAACAGGAGGACATCTTGGAG